CTTCTGAACGAGAAGGCCAAGTGAAATTGATGACAGGAAAGCTCACTGCCCTGACTAAAGCCAGGCCGCATGCCTGAAGCGACTCGCTCAACGGGCACTACCATGGGAAAAAGCATAAATCAGCCAGCGCATGAAATATTACAAGAACAAGTAACGGTAACACGCCCCTGTCAGCACCACACTCTCAGCCTGCTGACACGACAACAGACTCGTCCTGATCGCACCATCGCCCACATAGTCAAATATCACATATGCCGCAACGATGCCATTAGCTTCCTATCACGGGGCACAATCACATTACAGGCAGGAAAAAAAATCACTGCTCTCTTCGACACAGCTCTGCCGCTTAGGCATCAGCGTGCCGGCCCGCGCCCGTGAAGCTGGCACCGCAGCCGGTGCCGACGGATCAGCATCTGGGCCGGCCACCGGGTCACCAGAGTGCATCGGTCATAATCAGGGGGGCCGGGCTCGACCCGCGGGACGGCCGGCGCTGCTCGCACTCGCCGCCGCTGGACGCCTGGGCGCGAGCAGCGCCAGCCGACCGCGCATGGGCAGCGGCGGAGAGAGCGCGGCTCACACATCGCCCGCATCGCATAAACGGCGGCAGAATCAATCAGGCTGGGCTGCCGGCGGCGCCAGCCGACCGGCCCGACCGGGCCAGCGGGTGGGCGGCCGCCAGCGGGTCACCAGCGGCCGCCGCCACCTGGCCGGCCGCCGTCGCCTGGCGCCGACAGTCGATTGGCGGCGCGCTAATAATCACGTGTCAGCGGCGCCGGCCGGCCGCGGACACGGCGTCGCCGGCCCCGCGGCTAACGAGAGCCATGGGGCGCGTGCCGCCGGCGGGCCCGGCTGGCGTCGCCGCCCGCCGCCTTTCAAAATAGCCTCTCGCCCGGCCACCCAGGCCGTGCGGTACTCACACAAGCCGCCGAGGCACTTACAGAATTGACTGCGCGGCCGTCGCCGTTCTGCGCGCTAAGAGGTGCCCTAATGAAATCACCGCGGCCAAGCGGGCCTCTTAGATCGCGGCCTCGGCGGCGCCGGCCGAGCGCAGCCCGACGTCGCCGTCGACCCGTGACCAGCGGCGGACTGCTCAAAGCCCGTCGCCGGACCGCGACCGTTCCGCCGCGGCCGGGGCCGGGGCCGGGGCCGGGGTCGGGCGCCGCGCTTCGCCGCGCCGACGCCAGCGCCGCCCGGATGCAGGCGACACCTGCATCTGGTGAAGACGAGCGGGCGCGGCGGACGGATCCGATTGGAAGACTAACGAGCTCCCGCCAGCGACCACTAATGCCGGGTTGGTCGGCGGGGCGAGTACGCGTCGGGGGCCCGCTGCAGCGAGCGGACACCGCGCGGGGATCAGATAGAGATGACGGCTGTGACAGGCCGCGCCATCCACCACCTCCCAGATCGACGGCACAAATACGAATCAGACAACAAGCCCGTTTACAGAGCACCGACGGTGTCCACGATCGGTTCCACGGGGAGCCTTCACAGGCCCGTCTGCCCACTCCGACCATCTGCCGCCCCCACCCGGGGCGCGGCTGAGAGGGCCAATACGGCCGGGCGGCGGAGCGTCCCCGAGGGGCGGCGGCCACCATTAATGGAGTCGCCGCCCGGCCGGCCCGATCAACATCGATCTCAATATCGGCCGCCGAGCCGGGGCCTGCCGGCGCACAAATTCGCGAGGCGATGCCATCGGGCGCCGACGGCCGACGACTGGACGTGACGCACCAACTGCCGCCACCACTCCAGTCGTCACAACAGTGGCCGGAGAGCGCGGCCGGGCCCGAGGCGCCGCCGCCGCTGCAGCTGATCCGAGGAGGATCTCCGCTGGAGCCGCCAGGCGGCAAGATCGGCCGCGGCCGTAACGGTGCCGCCCGCGGCACAGGCTCTCGGCTCCCAGCAGATGGCGATGTCAGGTAGACAACGTGCCCACCAGACAGCTGCTCCCAGCAGAGTGAGATTCCAGCAGCGACCGCTGCTCTCGGCAGGCAGGGGGCTCACAACGGACGGCGCCACTAGCACAGAAGGACCCCAGCGGACAGAGGCTCCGAGAGACAGGGACCCCAGCACACAGCGGCTCACAACGCTCGCGGCAGCCAGAGGCCCTAGACAAGCAAGACCCCCGCATACAGCAGTCCTAGCAGACAGAGGCTCCTACAGACAGACTCCCGCAGACACAGCCTCTCAACAGACGAGGCCCCTTGCGGACAGGGGCTCTCACACCACACAGAGTCGCCCAACAGACAAAGTCCCACAGCAGACAGAGGTTCTCAGCAGACAGAGTCTCAGCGGCCCGGCTCGGGCAACAGCGGCGGAGCGCCAGGGGAGCGGAACTGACACCTCGTATCGTGAATGAGATCGGTGCCGGCGGGGGAGGCGAGGCGACAGCGTGACTAACTCCGGCTGTCCCCGGGCGTCCGCGGCAGGAAATCAGTGCTCCGACCGCTCCCGAAGGACAGCACAAGCTGCCTCTGGCGGTGGCTTGCCCGGGAGATGTACACACGCACGGCCAAGCCGTGGCTGATGGTGACCGTGCCATTGATTGCGGGTTTCACCTGCTTTCGTGTGGTCTACATGTCTAACATGCCCTCGTTTGCTCTATTTATGGATAGTGTTCTGGTTCTCATAATACAAATGTGGAGTGTTTACAGTAATTTTGGGCTTGCAACCGGAAATTGGTAGGCGTGAGAAAACTTGTGACGGCGTGAAGTTAGATATTGCCCCGCCCCAGCGGTAACCGGGGGGGGGGGGGGGGGGGGGGGCGGGGGAGGCACGTCAGGCCACCTCACTGTGAATCTGTGCCTACCCCGGCGCCACATTGGCGCCGGCCGCGCCGAACGACGGCGGCGAGGGAGCCTGACCTGGAGCGTGATGCACTCGGCGGCGGACGGCCGGCCGGCGCGGCGCCGCTGCGTCAGCGTGGCGCGCCGGCCCTCCTCGCATAGCTGTTCGTCGCGCTCGTGCTGGCACTCAGAGCCGCTGTCGGCCGGGGTCGGCGATGGTGGCGCAACCCCGCTGCCGCAGCAGCTCCTGGCGAGCCGAGGACGGCCGGCAGCCACGCGGCGGCA